GTGTGTCCGTGTGTCCGTGTGTCTGTGTTGAGCTATGCCCGGCTGTTCGCGCTCTTCGCGGACAAAGACGTCTCCCGTTCTCGACCGCGGCAGCCTGCAAAGTGTGAATAATTTTCAGCGAGGAGTTACACTAAGTGGGAAAGCTTTTAGCACATTATCCGCTGGCAATTGGACTATAATCTAATTGTCAGCCCTCGGGTCTTAATAGAGCCTTTCTCTTTCCACCATTGGATTTGCATCTGGGAGATGCCTAATGGGCTTAAATGCCTCGCATTTTGCTCCAATAAGCCACCTTTTCGCTGTAGGTGACATTGAGATGTTTTTGTATTGAAATTGGATCTCGAGTACCTGGGCTTCTGCCTTGCTGGCGCTACTCTTTTCCTGAAGGGGAGAATGTGAAGCGGCGGCAAGGGGGGCGATGTCCCCACAGCAGCAAGAGCGATGTCGTCCCCCCCACCCCAGCAAGGGGGCTGCTCCGAAATCGGGGAGCGCAAAGAGAGGTGGAATCCGACTGAGAGAGCAATATAATTATTTGCAGAAGAGGAGGAAAAAAGCTCCTGTTAGCAGGGCTGATAACCGCGTGAGGTTGCAGAGGAGCCAGAGCTGTAGCCGGGGAGCGCTGTAGCCATCGCTTTGTGAAGTAGCGGTGCGCTTGCAAGGCACGAACGGGAGTGTTTGAGACCCTGCCCGAGCGAATAAACACCATTCTTTACACAGAACAAGCTGTTTTCGTCTGCAAGGGGTAAAAATAAGAAAAAGCAAAAGATTTTAACTTCTCCCCTCCCGAGGCAGAAGTGCCTTCAAGCGCAAAGCAGTGCCGTAGGTTACCTTGCAGAGATGCTGCGGGTGAGTGTCAGACACAGACTCCGGTCGGCACCGGGCCAGCATCGGCCAGGACGGGACGGCGGCAGTGAGGGTCTCGGCAGCGGCCACCTCGCACCTGTAGGCTCCAAATTAAATGGAAGGGTGGCCCTCGCCCTTCTGCACAGACGACGAATCCGGACTGGAGACGGGGAAGTAACGGAGGAGAAGGGATGAGATGCAAGTGCCAGGCTATCCCAAGGGTCAGCCGGGAGAAGAGCGGATGTGAGCTCGGCTCAATGCCGGGACCGGTTTAGGGGCACAGTCCCACAGGTGCCGCAGAGGGGATGCCTACAGGTGTGTCTCTGAGGCGTGAAGTGTGCGGCGTGGGGGCTTTTGAGAGAAAAATAAAACAACAACAACAACAAAATAAAATAAAGAAAAAGAAAAAGGACCGTGGCCCCTCCATCACTGTGAGAAAGACTTGCTTAAAATGTGAGCGCAGCTCCCTACCCTGTCTGTGCCCCTCTCCGCACACTTCGCCCGCCGCCGGGCCTGCGCGGTCGCGCAGAAAAGCGCAGGGTGGGAGCTCTTGTCAGAAGGCGCACCTGAAACCATCCCTCTGGCTCGGCAGGACCCTAAGTTTCCCAGAGGGTTCCTGCGGGTTTCTGTCTCTCGTATCTCATTCCTGGCGTGATAGATGAGGAAACGGCCGGGAAGAAGTGCCGCTCATGGTTTTCAAGGGACTGCATTTTCTTTTTGGCTTTTCAGGGATCAGAGGGACGTTTTGGAGGAGAGCTGCAAGCTCCCTGTTAGAAACCTGACGGCGAAACTGAGACTTAATCCTGATTAAAGCTGGAAACCGAACGAGCGCGACGAGGTGTGCACAAATTACCCGCCGCACGCTTTCTTTGCCAGTTCACTAAGCAGTTTTTTAGGCAAATGAAGGTGGGAAAAGAGGTGCTTCGAAAGGATAATGAAGCCTAATGAAATGGTTCTGCCGCAGCAGGCTGACACTAGCGACAAACACACGGATTTGCTAGACTGAAAACAAACTGTGGTGTAGACTACGTGTTCTTTATGTACGGATAAACAATAACGAAGGATTTAATTGAAAAGGGTTCAAACGAGGCAACCGCCCTGTTGGAGTGCAGCAGGGTTGGTAACTCTGCTGTCGGGAGGGGGTCAGTATAGCGGTGACAGCCGGTCTGTGCCCGGCTGTGGCAGGGACAGGCTGCTCCGGTTCGTATCCCCCGGGAACAGCGCACGGATGCTGTTGAATACATCTACTTGGTTGGGAAAGCAGAGAGGGACCAAGAGCACTGGAGTAGTGATGGGTTCTCCAGCCACCCCCTCGTCTCTGGAAGCCCTCACTGTTCCCGGAGAGGGTCGTGGGCAGGGACGGCAAAGCAGCTCAGGGGAGCCAGACTCTCACTCCCTTCCCACTAGGGTACCCTGATTCCCGTATCTCCCCAGTTCGGACCCGGTGGGGGAGGGAGCTGTAGCGAGGATTAGGCGGCCAGAGCCCCATTCTCTGCCCACGGGGAAGGAGGGGGTGCTCTGGACGTCTAGACCAGGCTCATTTCCTTATCTGAGGCGGGGCGGGGGAAAAACTAAAAAAAAAAAAAAAAATATAGATTCTCGTGGGATAGACCGAAAAACTGCATGGCTCACCCAAGCAAAGGAAAAGCCATCCAGTGTGGACAGACCCGCTTAAAATAAAATAAAATAAAATAAAACGAAGCTCCTGGTTTCTTTCGTCCCCGAGTTTTTGATCTCCGAGGTACGAGCAGGGACCCCCAAGCCCCCACGTCCAGTCTCTCTGCCGGGGGGCAACCCCCTGCCCGGAGGAGACGGCAAGTCCCATCTCCACGGCCGTGCCGCGGCCTCGGTTTCCCCCTCTCTCGCCGTTCCACTCCCTTCCCCGCCCGGCCCTCCGTGCCCCTCTCACCGCGCAGCGCTTCCCCGCGCCGCGGCCGAGTCCTTCTCCCGCGGCTAAAGGTAAGGACGGGCCACCCCGCAGGGTTGAAAATCCCGCGACGAAGCAGAGCAGAAAAAGGGTCCCGGGCTGCCGCAGCTGCGGGATCTGAGCCGGTATTTTCCATACGGACCGAAATATCCACCACCACTCGCCGTTCCCCTCCCCTTAGCCCCCATGGGTCGGGGGCAACCTCTGCTATGGAGAGGTATGTTGGACTTGGCTGCTGGGAGACGGAAATAAGGAGAGATGTTTTGTGGTTTTTTTTTTTTGTTTGTTTGTTTGTGTTTTTTTTTAGTTATTCTTATTTGTGCGGCGCATAAAGTAGGTAAGAAACCAGAGGCATCCCCACCACCACCAGAGAAACGGTGAAGACAATAACTTCCTCAGCAATTTGTAGCAGGCCGGACCCTGCTTTTCAAGGGAGCGCAGGGCCCGAACCCCCGGGATCCCTGTCCCACCGCGCCTCGCACGCCAGAAGCGGGGCTGTCCCACAAGGAAACTGGGCCGGCAGCTGGAGAGATATCCCTCGGGATAAAGCGGCAGAGCATTTGGGAGACTTTTTGTTCGTTTGTTTTCTTCGGATTGATGTCGACAGAACCGCTAGTCTCGGTTCCGCTGTGTCAAGAGGCGATGCTTCGCGATCTGCCCCTCCTGGCTCTCCAACCGCGGGGCCAGCCGGGCTTTCCCTTTTCTCCCCTCTCCCCCGCTTATGCCTTAGGCACAACCGGGCCCCCAGACCACGGTGGGCCACGCTGAAATCCTCTGCCAAACGGTTCAGGCGCCTCTAAACATTCACGTCCCGTTTGTGGTAGATATCCTATCTATTAGCAAATTCAGGTAATAAAGGGCAAACTGCAGTTGGTTCTCTCTGATCTCAAAGCGAGAAAGCACTATTTCGTATTCCCCACTTCAGTGGCTCTGAAGGGTGATCCGAGTAATAATTTCTCCACCTTGATTAATTAAATACAGCGGGAATAGGAGCGGCACAGACTATACCTGATCAGGTATGTCATGGCTCTTGGCACAAGCCTGCATACTTAAAGCGCTTGGATTCTGTCCGAGGCTTAAAAGGTGGAACTTCAGTGACAAAGTGGCATGTCCTCTTGTGAGTCGTTTCGGAGAGCAAACATTTTCAATCATATTTTCACTTAAAGGGATTTAATTAAATGCCCTTTTTTGTTTGTTTGTTTGCTTGTTTGTTTGTTTAATTTATTTATGGGAGTATGCTTACATAATGTGTGTAAAAGAGTACTGGTAAGCAATTTACTTAAATCATTGCCTTGGAATAATCTGCTCGTTGGCAGATTATTCAGTATGACCCGACATTCTCTGGATTTTTTGTGCTTGATCAATACCATCTAGTTTGGTGGAGCCGATGAAACGGACTTGAAGAAAAGTGTGGGATCAGAGGCCCACGCACCGGTTTGACTGGGAAGAGAACGCAGCAAGGGTCACACCTTGAGAATCAGGGCAGAGCACCTCTGACCGGGATGACAATAATTGGGATCTTTTGCAGGAAAACCAAGTATACGATCAGCCTTAAGGAACATGCTGTCCCAGCACAAGGCACACAACGATGAAAACGGCTGCTTTGAAAGTTGTGGTCTTTTAATATTTGAATTCAAAATAGAAAATTGACACTCACACTCAACGCACAGAAAAATCCACATTTTTTTTCCCCTATCCTTTTAACCGCCTCTCCGCTGATTCTTGCCTAAGCAAAGCGAATAGCCTAGGGACCTTCTCGGGAGCATCCCCGGCCGTGCGGCCTGCCCCCTCCCGTTCCCGCCCCCGGGGCTCCGAGGAACAGAGAGCGCACCCCGAACCGCAGCCGGGGCCCCGGAGGGGAGCGGGGCTGGGCTGCCCGAAGGGGGAGCGGCGGTGGGGAACTGTCCCGAGAGCCGGCCGCCCCCTGCCCACCCCACGGGCGGGCAGAGCCCTCCCCTCCCATCCTATCCGTCCCTCCTCCTCCCGCTGCCCGCCTCCGCCCCCTCCCCCGCGGCCGGGCCGGGCCGGGCCGGGGCCCTTGACGTGTCCCGGCGCCGATTGGCCGCTGGCCGATAGGATCTCCGCGGCCCCGCGTTAAGGCGGGGGAGCGCTCGGCGCCGGGAGCAGAGCGCTTCCCGGTATCCCGGCTTCACCACTCCCGGTCGGTATTCACGCCCGCCCCGTCCGGGCAGCGCCGCACCGAGCCGCGCCGCTTCTCCGCAGAGTGGCCATGGAGTACACGCCGCCCCCCAAGCCGCAGCTCTCCTCCCGGGCCAACGCCTTCTCCATCGCCGCCCTCATGTCGAGCGGCAGCTCTAAGGACAAGGAGTCCCCCGAGAGCACTATCAAGCCTCTGGGTGAGTGGGGACGGGGGTGACCGCCGGGTGTCCGTGGGGTGCGAAGCTCCACTCCGTCCGTCTGTCCCTGGCGGAGTCCGCTGGCCTCCCTGACTCACCCTTCTCCGCGCTCCGGCAGCCGAAGCCGGGCAGCGGCGCGTCCCCCGAGCCCGAAGGCTTCCCCTGCAGAGGGGAAAGCCACACCACCTAAGTCAGTTGAATATCTTCATCACCCACCGTCGTTTACAGGCGAGGCAGTTTATGGCATAAACAGTTTCCTAAATTCCTCCAGCTTCAGCTACTCCCTTTATTTATCCAGCTTCGCCACTCGCAGAATAATCTCACACCCTAAGGTAGTTCCATTTCTCTTTGCTGATATGAAATGAATCTCTTAAATATTTATTGCAAATCCTTTCTGTTTTTGAAGTCAAATGAGAAGACTCTCCGTTATCGTGCCTAAGCTTACAAGGGGTAGTAAAACTTGTGCGTAGACCTGGAAATCTCTTGGCTCCACAGCTTCTCGATGTAGGCTCATATAGGCTGTTTTACTCTCCGTAGACCGGAAGGATTTTTGTAGTATTACTTGCTATTTTCGGGTAAGCGATTTCGCTTCTATTCGGTTGACTCGATTCAGAATCCTGAAAGTTTTTAAAAAACATTAACGTCTTCCCCTCATCTCCCACCCTCTCCCCCCCACCCCAAGTTTCCGAGGTTTGCAGTCCTTGCATGTATCCAGGAGTTCGCAGAAAACTACAAAAAATTTGTTAAGCTCTCAGGGCGCCAATGAACAGGATTACATTCAACCTTAAAAGAATTTAGAAAAGGCAGCTCCCTCAGCGCCTGCTCCATCTAATCAACTGTCTCAAAAGATTTCACATTGTCCAGAGATTCATTGTGAACTTTATTTTTTAGTCTAGGCGCTAATGTAGGCCGAGAATGTTGCAGTATTCCCATTCGGCATATTTACGAGGGCTTGTGTTAAACGTAGTGTTAGTGCTAGTGGAGTTTTGTTTGTTTGTTCCTTTTTCAAGAAAACACTTGTTTAATTTAACTTTTCAAAAATTTTTAACTCCTTCCCACAGCTTATAGTTGAAGGGAAACGGCTGCCTGTAACTCGACTTATCATTAAGTGGAGACTCGAGCAAAACCTTTCCCCGGAGGGGTAGGGCGCGTTCGTGCACCACCCGTTCCTTGGCGCCGGGCGGCGGATCCGTGGCCGCATCCCGGTGCCGCAGCGTGGGGCCGAGAGAGAGCTGGCGCAGCTCTGCTCCCTCCCGGCCTCGCCTACAGCGGAAACTCCCGGCGGAGCTGCTGAAGCCCCCAGAAGCTTCCCGGGACTTGCGGGGGTGGGCGGCAGCGCCGGCGGGACCAGCCGCGGCGGGCGGGCAGCGCCAGCAGCAGCTACTGCACCCGCGTAGGTTGCGCGGCCGCACGTAGCTCCCCCGGAGCTTATTTCTCCAAAAGGAGCGTGTTCAGCGTCAGCAAACCTGCTGGGAGGCGAGGGAGACCTGGCTTTCCGGGAGCGTGAGCCCGCGCTCGCCGTTGAATTAGTATTAGGGGTTCTTTTCCCCCCGCTTCCCTCCGCGGCCGCGCTCGGGCTCTTTCTGCGTTGCGCGCTCTGCCAGCGGCGCAATCCAGGAGCAGCCTCAGCGCTCCCCCAGCGTGACCCCGGTCCTCAGCAGCCCCTCGGCGCCCAACGCTCCCGTTTTAATGAGAATTAGTGACCTTTCCGTGGAACCCCTGGGTTAGCAGGGGGGCAGAGCGCAGGGCCTGCTCTGCCCCCTCCGCGCCCCGCGGAGCGGGTCACAGCCGGGCGGCGACGCAGCCGGGGCCGCGCTGCCCCCCGGCGCCCCCCGGCATCTGTCCCGGTGAGCCTCTGGAGAGTGGCGCCGCTCCAGGCTCTTCCCGGAGCTCATCTCCGAAAATCACCACCGCTGCCCTCAAATGATGAGCTGACGCCTAAAGAACAAGCGCGGGTCTGCGGATGTGCTGGGCAGAGCGGGAGCAGATGAACGACAAATGCCTTATATATATACATACATATACACATATATATATATTTAAATAGCTTGTCTCGGATGTCACCCCGTCCTGGCTGAATCACACTTAGACTCTCTCTCTTTTTTGTTTTTTTCTTCTTTCTTCTTTTTTTTTTTTTTTTTCTTTTTTCCCCTCCCCAAATCCCGCAGAACAATTCGTTGAGAAATCCTCTTGCGCCCAGCCTTTGAGCGATTTATCCAGCCTGGACCCTCACGGGGATTTTAGCAGCAGCCCTTCGTCCCTGTGCACCGAGCCCCTCATCCCCACCACCCCCATCATCCCCAGCGAGGAGATGGCCAAAATCTCCTGCAGCCTGGAGACCAAAGAGCTCTGGGACAAGTTTCACGAACTGGGTACCGAGATGATCATCACCAAATCCGGGAGGTAAGGCTGGGCAGCCCCGGGTTTTTCCTCCGGGCAGCTTTCAAAAAGCCGCTTTGGTCAGGGGGAAATAAGGCAAAGCAACTCCGCGGGTTTTGTATCGGGAGAGCAGCAAGGCTGGGCTAAGGGGAGAGGAGGAGGAGGGTGAAGCCCCTTATTTGCCTGGGCGGGCGCTGCGCGGTGCGGTGCACGGAGCCCCGCTGGGGCAGAAGGAGAGGCGGCCCGGGGCGGCAGCGGGGCCGGATGGAATCCATCTGAGGTGTGCTGGCGGATGGCTAGAAATGTTGTTTCCCTTATAATTCGTTCCGTAACTAAAACACCGCAGTGATTTTTGCGGGGCTGGGTTGTTATAGACCCAGGGAAACGCGGGGACGTGGGGAAGTATTTCGGTCAGAGCTTGGCTTGGTTTGTTCTTTTCACTCGGTTGCAAAAACGCACAAAAGAATCCCATGCTTTCTCGTCATCTCAAACTATGCCGTTTCGTCAGTAAAGCCTTTGGATTTGAGTCAGTCAAACGCAGTTTGGAGAAGCCAGATGTTTTTTCGGGTCTTGTAATAGCCCAAGTTAGTTTTTATTAATGTAGTTCCTTGAAGGCATTTTTTTTTCCTAGATGGTGAGATCTGTCGGCATGTGTTTTTTTTTGTTTTTGTTTTTGTTTTTTTTTAAATAGTATTATAAAAAAAAAAGTGGGTAAAAAATCTGCAATTTGAAGTTCAAAATTTCAAACCGTTCAAAGATATTTGACTTTGTTTCTACAACGTACCCTTACACTTTTCAATTGTATTTTGTCAAAACTTAAGTACCGAAAAGAAAGTTTAGTTTTGAAAATTACGCTCAAAAATATCGTGAGCAGGATTAGAAGAACACTCATCCAAAATATGCGAGAATAATAACAGTAATAATTTCTGCAATATTTCCCTAGCAGTAGTATGGATCCCACAAAAATAAGAAAAAAAAACCCTAAAGATTTATGTACCTTAGGTAAAACTATTTTCTGAAATCGTTGTGTACTTTTAACTAACAGGCAAACAGTATATTTCTCCTTTAGTTCTTAATTTTTACAATTTTTTTCCTCTTTGCTTCCCAGATATTATTTTGATTTCAAGCTGCTTTTTCTCTGCCTATTGGAGAGACACAAGATTTAACTTCCATCATGCTTAAGCAGAATCAACAGATGCTTTTAGTTTTATAGGTGGTTTAAATATAATTCTTACTTTTAGCAGCTTTTCATAAGCTCCCTTATTTCTGTTCTCTATCTGCATTTTTATTTTCTGATTTGCCTTTATTTCAGGAGAATGTTTCCTACGATCAGAGTTTCCTTCTCGGGAGTGGACCCTGAGGCCAAGTATATTGTGTTAATGGATATAGTTCCTGTGGACAATAAAAGATATAGATATGCCTACCACAGGTCTTCCTGGTTAGTGGCTGGAAAAGCTGACCCTCCTCTCCCTGCAAGGTTTGTAGATTTTACTGTTGGTCTTTTATTTTTCTTTACTTTTCTTTTTTTTCTTCCTTCAAGAAATACTTCCTATTGATCTTTCCATTCTGTTTGCTCTGTCTGCTCTGTCCATGCTCAACAGTTGGTTGCAAAACTGAATAATTTTCTGTGATGCAGAATCTGGCCTCAAATCTCTACTTGAGGTTTGATTTATACTGAGTGTTTCAAGGCATGCAGAATTTGTTTAAGGGCTCTTTTATACAAATGTTGTTTGTTTTTTAATTTTTTTTTTAATGAAGTGTATCTTGACTGAGATAAGAAAGCTTGAAAAAAAAATTTGATTTGTCTCTTGGCTCACCCCCCTCCCAGTATTTGACCTCATATTTTAAAGCAATCCAGGCACCACTAGCCAAGTCAAAGTGAAAATACTACATTACAGTTCAGTGCTGTTTATGCTTGAAATTATATTATTTCTCCAGCATCTCCAGCATTTGCTAACCAAGAATTTTATTCTTGCTTTTAGTCATCTGATAGACAGCAGGCAAAGTACAGAAGTACAGATTAGTTCTACAGCACACATTTTTTTTTTTTTTTTTTTTGGTTTAAGAAATCATGACATTCTGAGACATCGGGAAAGAAAATCAAATTCCTTTTTCTATACAGAAACAAATGCTGTAGAAATTTAATTTCTAAAATAATTCAATTAATGTAATTAATGGCTGATTCCTTTCGTCACCCCACAACTGAGGCTGCAGCACTAGGCTGTACGGTGGGAGGGCACTTCAGCAGAGATCCGCACTTCGTCGTATTCAGCCCAGCACTTCAGTACGTACTCTAAGTCCCCAAGTCCAGTAAGGCTGCAGCACATGTAGAACGGCTTTGCTGAGTCAGAGATGGAGATATGGAAATAATGGGGATGCCTCTCTGGCTTCAAAGAAACTTTTCGTGGAGGGCTCTGCACAGGGACACAGATCTGCTCCAGGTGGCATAGCCTGGGGTTAAGAACTCACTTATTACAGAGGCAGAAATTAGAAGTGAAACACAAGAAATGGAAACACATTTTTTCGGTGTGTGAGTATAGACACCAAATACTGCATGATTTCCTTATATAAATAGTTGAACTGAAATCTCGGTGACTGGCGATCTCTGGAAGCCTGCTCAGGGAAGTAAACAAACAAAAAGCACAAGCAGAGAAGCTGTGATTAAAGACAGCAACCTAGGAGTTATGTCGGCTTTGTTTTCATGGCCAAAAACTCCTTTTTGCAATGTGGTTAACGTCTGAGGGCTTCATTTGACGTATTGTAATGGGCACTGATCAAAACCCAGAGAAAAAACACGGATCCTTCTCCAAAGGAGTCTGCATCAAAAGAAGAAATAACAGAAGGACAGAAATAGTTTTAAGGCAGGGTTCTCCCCTTCTTATTTTTCTGTTCACGCCCCTTTTGGGATACCTTTAAATAGATGCTAATTCACACTCTCTCTCTGGCACAGTCTAGTTTAACAAAGAAATACAAGAACATAAGACTGGAGAGTGATCCTTGTAATAATTAGCAACTGCCCTTCTGAGTGTTTTAAAGTTGGGGTCAAACCTTCTTGAGGTTAAATAGTTATTATCATTGTACTGTGGTAGCTCTTTAGTGTTCTCAGTGGATCAGTAACCCTGTGTGCAAATGAGTATTTGTGCTTTTTCATTTTCAGGATGCTTTGCCTCTCTGTGTAAATGTACACCTTTCCTCTTTCATTTTCAGGATACTTATCCAAAAAGACTATTGATCATAGCACAGGCTTAGATGGCTTTTTCTTTGTATGAACAGTACTTAAATACACATTTATGCATTTTGTCCTTCCTATGTTTCTCTTTGGTGAGAAAAAGGATGTGAAGAAGTTCAGTGTGCCCGTGTTTGCATTACTAATGCTTCTTCTAGAGTGTTTATGTATCTTTTGAGGTGGGAGTCCTCAGTCTTGCTTGAACAGATTAAAAGTAGTACTCCTCCCATCTTGAAACCCTTAATGAAGTTATGATTTCTTGTCCTCCAAGCACGCGGTTTCAGCTCCCTGTGCTTGAGGAGTGTCAGCGAGGGGCGTATGTGTGCTTAGCGTCTGGGCACTGGTAGCAAGGTGCTTGCTCCCCACACGCATCACTGCCTGCATCTGCACAGGCACGATGACAACAGGGGAATTATTCAGGAGCTGCATTGTGCATGAGTGTAAAAATTTGCAGGATTGAACCCATTAGATAGTTTGCTCTTTCCATTATCAAAATAACTTCCAACACTAAGAAAGTTTTGTGTTGTTTTTTGGGGGGTTGTGGGTTTTTTTTTTGATTTTTTTTTTCTTCGAATTAGTGAGTATTCTGTGATTCTGTTTGAAAGATTAGCCCTTCAGGGAACTTCCTATTAAAACCAGTTTTATCCTTGTCTTCCTGCTGTCAGTGTTGAAGACAAGCTTATGTTGCAATGAAAACTTAAATAAAAATACTTTTCAGAGACACATTTGTAAATCTTCTAAAGTGCTATCTGGGGATAGAATTGCTATGTGATATTTTATGTTTGTCTTTCACATTGCTAAAACTGTGTGAAACATCAGTTTAATAAGTTTCAGCACGTACTTTTCTTCAATCTTCCTTTTTCACCTCATTTCTTTACTCAAAAGTTTGTCACCTTTTTTTAAACTGTATTTGTCTACAGTAATTTGTTTAATGAAGTTATAGTGTTCACACATAGAGAACTCTAGGAAGGGAACCTTTAAAAAGTATTATATTTTTCAAATTATTTGAGACCCTAGGGTAAATAATTAGCATGTATGGAGCTTGTGGGACCAGATCAACTGGTAAACTAAATAGAGGGAGTGTGGTATCACATCCCAAAATATACAAGAAAGAAGCAGTACCTGAACTTTGCACATATCGTGAAACATCATATACTGTGGAGTAAATTCATACCCAAATATGGCTCCTAAATCCTTTGTGAGTCAAAGCTAGCAGCTCCTCACATCTGACTAGCCTTACGCAGCTGAGCCCACACAAGCTTCTGGGGGAGCCTTGTGTGCTGCACTGGAATGTGCATATTTATCTCTTCAACCTGTTTTCTCATGGTCTTGCCAACAACTTCAGCTTCAGAAAGCAATATTCAGAAAGCAACCCTCTTCTCTGAGGTGTACAAGCCTGGGCTGTAGGAGAAGTGTGTGAAATAGGTGTAGCTCACCAAGTGGAGTCCTGTGTTGCAATGGAATTGATGGTGTGTAGCAAATGGGTAAAGAAAAGAAAAATAAGGTCTATTATTACACTTCTGTAACTGATATTCTGGTGCCATCCTTCAGTGACTTCCCAGTTAGCACTCTGCCAGCATACAGGCACTTGATAGTTTTAAAGCAGTGTGGAGCATTAACCACTGATGGTGTAAAACAACTGTGCTCAGCTTTTCAACACATGAAAGTCTTTACCCATTCCCCAGCACATATTTGAAATACTTTGCCTTTTTGGTCCCAATTAGCCAAATCTTGCTGAGCTTGACACTCTGTGATCACAATAAACATTATTAGTTATCCAGACATTCAAAATTAGGAGTCAGGCTCCAAAAAAAAAAAATGTCACAAGGCTGGCTGAAACATAGAAGGACATTTTTGTAACTCTTTGTTTTACCTTTTCTAATTCAGGACTCTAAAGATTGAGATTTTTCACAGCTTTTTTAGAGGAAGGCAAATTTAATTTTCATGAAAGCTAAAATTCTTTTGACATAACATGGTTCCAGGTCTTGTTCTGATACATCCTCATTTTTTTATGAGCTCTGCAGTGCAATCAGCAGAGTCAATAATGGTGGGGGCACCTACATGCTAGGAATATTTTATTGCAACAGGCCTAGCATCCCATTCATGAACACAGCTAGAGTGGCCAAGCTGTGCTTCAGATCAATGTAAGGAAAACATCCTGCACATCTGAAGTGAGCTGTGCCTATAAAACTTTGGTTTCATTGTGACTTGGGGATTCTGCCAGCAAAAATGGAGTGTGCAGGATCAAATGTCCTTCCTCTTGGCGCAAGGGAGCTGTGCTCCCTAGCATCTGTAGTATGGCCACTCCTTGATGAGGGATCAGTGTAGTCTATCGGGGAGTTACACCCAATCATTTAATGTTTTTTTCCATTCTAAAATTGTAGCCCAACAACGAGAACAAATGTTTATCTTTCTAACCTCACATCTCAGTGTGTCCCGCCCACCTAATGGAAGAAATCCGTTCGTGTGGCCAAAGATATCACCCAAAACGAGAGTCAGGCCTCGGGGAGTGATAACGAATGCAGAACAGGGCTGGTTTGTACTCACTGAAGGTCTAGTCCAGCTCTTAATTCACTATCACAAAAGAACGTTTGAGTTAATAATTTTCAGCAATTTATTATTCCTATAAAATCATTGTTTTTAAATAGCCTGGCACTTGTAATTAGTCTAGTCATAATGTATATATCATTGTATCTACATGTCTCCTTGTTTCCTTTTCTTCTGCTTAATTTCCCAAGTGGTGGATTGTTAATTACAGAGCTGCAATTAATTTTTCATGTCTGACCACTGTGCTGGACTGCAGCCTTCAGCTTCTTATAAACAGATGTCACCACAGGGAACATGTGATCGAGTGCAGGTTAAAATCATTATCACAGCTTAATGTTACAAATAAAGAAAAATGCATTTTTATCTACATTCCCCCATTATCTCTGTAATGACACCATGTTTTTTCTCTTGGAGCTGTAGTCATTGTTATTTTAAGTGCTTGTTAGTACAGCTGTGGGGAAAGACATAATCAATTTTTCTTTTGGGAAAAGTCACAACAGTGAATGTTAGTTAACGTCTCCATTTTAGATAACTGGATAAAATAATAGGTATGGTTAGGGAGCAGCCTAGCACTCAGACACAGGATTCTTCATTAGGTTCCAGTGAATTAAATAAGTCATCTGCTATACTGTCTTTCATTATTAGCTGTTTTTCAGGCATTAATTAATTTGGGGGAGATGGTGTCTTGTTCTAGCAGCAATCTGTATTACCCCAGGAAATCTGTGTCAGTGAAATTACTGCATATACCAAAAGCAAGATGCTTCTTAATTTCATATGGAGGTGGTGCCCAAGCACAAATCAAGAGGTGGGATCTTTTACAAGCAGACCTTCTCCCTCTGTTTTTTAGGTTGTATGTGCACCCTGACTCCCCATTCACAGGAGAGCAACTGCTGAAGCAGATGGTGTCCTTTGAAAAAGTCAAGCTCACCAACAACGAGCTGGATCAGCACGGCCACGTGAGTAGCCCTCCTGGTGTGAATGGGCCAAGGAATGTCCAGAGGGGAATTGCTCGGGCTAAGCTTGCAGGAGAGAGACTGCAATGGGGAAAGGTTGTTATGGCTCCCACATTACACCTCTCTTGGTCAGCCCTTAGTACTACAATGGAGGAAGATGTTGTGTGAAGCTTGAATGTGGGTTTTTTAAACACATTTAAGGGCCCCTTTGGGTTCTTCTGTTGTTGAGAAATAGGTAGCTTCAAAAATCGTGGTTTTAAAAATATATTTTAGAACTTAGAGCCCAGGTCAACAGCTCGAATCGTGTTCCTGCTGACATCAGAGCCAGAACATCCATCAGAGACAAGTTCGGGGTGGATATAAGCATCAAAGTGAGGGATAGAAGGAAGGCAGATGAGCCATTTGTTGTGCTTCTGCTTGCATTTTGTGACTTGACAGTATGCTCTGCCACATGCAATGGCCAGGAAGCCCATGTGCTTTCACACATCTGATTTGAAGCTCCCTCTCACTTCAGGCAACCTCTTAGGGTTGGGTCCATCAACAAGAGCTCCTTTACTTTCAGACTCATTGCAGCCTGGGCATAGAGTCAGAAGAAAATACTGGTGTGACATCAAAACAAGGTTTAAAGAATTATAAGAATAAGTGTGCCTCAGTTGCCCTTGAGATAACTGTAGGTTAACTGCAAGTCAAAGTGCCAAAGTCTGGACTTGGGCTTCTGGGGGAGTCAGGTCCCAGATCTGATTGGTGCCAGTTTGTTGTCACAAGCCCTGAGGCTGGACACAGGTAAACAGGATGCAGAGCTGCTGGCCATGGGTTCCCGCTATCCTCCATTACAGGGAACAACTCCTTTAGTTACCTGACTGTCTACTGGTAGGTGGCAAGAAAAGGTGTTGTCTGTCCTGTCCTCTCCCCAGAAGTGACTTTAAAGAGCAGGAATGACTCAGTAGGGCCTCCAAATTCCAAAGAACTAAAAGTGTTGCCCCTGGGCTTGGTCGTTCTCTCAGGGAAGGCAGAAGGAGCAGGGGGATAGATTTGAAAGAGCTGTTGGCTGAGAACAGGGCAGTTCAGAAGAGAGAGATTAAAGGTAGGGTTAGTAAATGAGGAGTGGTTTTGAATTGTAAAGCATTTGTAGTGGTTACTAATTTGTACAGCTGAATAATTATGGTATACAATGTATCAGAAACCCCTTCCCTAGTGTGGCATTTATTGCCTGGACTGTCTGAAACAGTGGCCATTTATCTGACCTGTGTTCTGTGCAAATGTTTCTCACCCAAAAGAGAATTTTTTCTCATTTCAAGACCTGAGAATTGAATCACAGCCATGATCATTTAAAATACATCCCAGAAATAACAAAACCAAAAGTATTCAAAAAAACCCAAACAAAAGAAAGCCCAGAAAGCCTTGTGCTGTTCTTTTGTAAAGATCCATCTGTGGGTACATTGTTCTTGAATCCAGTTCCCACCGTTGTTCCTTTCATGACTGGTGGAGAATGTATTTTTTTTCCTCTCTTTTATTTCATAATCTGTAGAAGGGCAAAGCTGAAGATTTGTGGGCTCTATCACTGAGTGATGATAGAGCAGTATACGTGCGCACTTAAAAAGAAGCATTTTTCATCATAACAGGGGCCATGTGTGCCTCTAATAAAGGGCTTGCAGCAGTATATTGCAAGCTAGTTAGGAGCAGTGCAGTTCCCAGAAGCCTAGATGAGTATAAAGAAGAAGTAGGTTGGAGAAGCTGTCGGGAACAGAGACATGACAGAGCAAGAAGACGTAATCGTCTCAAATACAGGCAGTGGGTGAAAATGATCCGTAGTGTTTGAGATACAGCCTTCCCATTAATTTCCAAAGAAGCAGTAAAGGTTGATCCCATTCTCTACACAAAGGCTGTGGACAGCCAACACGGATGGAAAGTTTTGCGTGTTCAGTTAAGAATAAGCCCTGAAGGCTTGATCCTGTGTTGAGATTTGCCTGACAGGTGTTACGCCTTCACGGAGCACTCCCTTTTTAATATTTTGTGGGGTTTTATGTTCCAAATTAGGATATCAGGTTTTATACGCAGCCTTATTGAAGCTATGTAAATACCATCGTTGGATGATCAGTAGAATAGAGGAAGAAATTCTTTCTCTGCAGCCTTTAAGGAGGGCTCATTGTGCTACCGCCCATGGCATTTCTGAACTCATGTGTACTAAGAGAAGAGGAGAATTGAAGCACCATCTCTCCTTTCAGTTTGAAAGAGCCAGTCTTTACTGGTGAGAACTTTTTAATCATGCTTGATAAGGGGTATTGGTTCCTGAGGAAGTCTGGATGACCTAAAAGATGCCTTTGGATACAAGTTATAGGTAGAGAAGCTGGATCCAACCTGATTCCCTCTTGCTCTAGTTGCTTGCTGTTCTCAGCCTCTAGAAGACAGTTTGGGGAGTTCAGGTGATTGTGGTGTTTTATTTGTAGGATGGTCATTTCCTGAAAAGGATTCTGGAGAGAAGAGAGGCCTTTGTTTGTTCTAGCATTTGTTTGTTTTCTCCTATTCCGAGACTTCTGGAGTCGACAAGCATTTCTGCACATGTACCTTCAGCAGCATGTGTAACCCCACAGCTATGCACATATTCTCCCAAAGCATCAGGCAGAAGTCTTAATCTCTGTGTGCATGACATACAGCTTGCTCTGTGGAAACACTTTCAGATATCCTTACCAGAGGAAGGAAATGGCTCCTATCTCTGGATTTTTACAGCTGAGTGAGTAATTGCCATTTTCTGGCTGTGAAACATTTATGAATGTGACTTTTTTCTTCAGATTTCTAGTGATGTTTTTCACACAGAGTGCTTTCTTTAGGACTTCTGGTTGCACTTTGTTGGGGTGGCATAGTTTCTTCTTTCTGGTGAGGTGAACCATGAGTTGTTTACATTATTGTAATTGCTTTTCTGGCATTTACAATAACAAAACTTAAACACATAAATGTTTGTGAAAGCAAACAGAAAGGTGTGAACATATAGCCAACGAGTAATTGTGAAAGCAGGGCTTATGGAACAGCCACAAGGAGTTATGCCCAGGATTTTTGAGAGTCAACCATGCACAACTTCCATGTTTTTAGAAAGAAAACTTTGCCTGATAATGCTATTCTTTAGTAAATATGGAAGCAGCATTCACAGCACAGTTCCTGGATTCCAAACCACCTTGGAAGTTCGCAGCTGGCATCCAGATTGCCTCTCGTGACTGGTTTGTAGCCAGTGGGAGCCAGATGCCTACAAACCTGCCTGACCTTACAGCAATCAGGATCCTGTAAGGAGGGATCCTGGTCATCTGCCCAGCTGCAGGCTGTCAGCACAAAGGTAGATGGGGTGGCTGGGGGCCTGCAGCTGGGGGGCTGCTGTAAGTATAAGTGCACGTGATGTTTCTTTTGAGGTGTGCCAGTGTAAGTATGACAGAGCAGGCACCAGGTATTTTCTGATAGCTACACTGTGTGGGCAGGGCTCTGCTTGGACTTTGAGACCACTCTTGGAGGCTACTCTGTGAGGTACACTCAGTGTATCTAAGTAGTTTGGGCTGTTGTGATGGTCCTAGCATAAGAAGTCGAATGGATATTAGGGCGTATCTTTGTGCATTTTCCTGCTCAATTTGTTATCAGTGTGTGTTGCAACATTAGCAGCTTTGTTGGGGAGTAGGTGGAGCACTACATGTACAGACGCTCACATAAAGGGAATACTGACTTTAACCTTGTCCATGGATCTTTTGTGACCTCCTGGCTACATTTGGTACTTGTTTTGTACCTGAATGACCAGAGCATGCCTCTGATGGGAACTAGCAAGGTAGAGTATCGTGGCAGGGGATGTTATGTTCATGCACTTTAATTTTTGGAAAACTTTCATAAAGGATAATGCGGTCTTGTTTTAGAATTGTAGTTTCTTTATCGCAATTTGCATTCACAGAGGAGCAAAGGCAAGGGCATATGGGGGAGCTGCTCTATCAAAGCTTTTTCCTCCTTCCACTCGGCTGCTGCTCAGATGTAATGCCTTGGAGTTGATATCATGGCCATTAAAGGCAACGCAAAGCACCAACTGTGGGCTAACCCTTCAGTAAGCTCATCATCATCCATACACCCTCATTTAAAATGTCCTTCCCATCTGCTTAGAGCACTCCAAGTGATTAAGATGGTAAGACAAAATTTTACGTAGAGATGGAAAATTGTGTGTGTGCCTGTACAAAATGGTGAAGTGCTTTGAGAAAGGACTGAGCTGGTAAAAGCAGACATGCAACATTTTAAGGGAAATGTTTCCCTGTCACTGTAAGGACTTTCTTGACGCTGTGTGCCTTCCCCCAAAGTCCCAGTATGAGTCTTGGTAATATCTGGCCCCAAAGGAGCAGCAAAGAAAATGCTGGTGGAAATTGCAGCCATGGTAGAGCTGTCTCTAAGCTCTCCGCTCCAGTGCAATGTGCAACCTTTCTCATTGACTGAGTTACCATGAAATGCTGCACCGCTTCTGCTATGTTTCTGTTGAAGTTAGCGCTTCCTGAGGAATGCACATTAGCTATTCCAGATGTACGGAGCTGACTGTAATGTCGTTATGGCCCCTGCAAAATAGAACCACCCACACCAATGCCAATTTCGTCTTGTGACGGTGATTATATCCAAAACAAGGGCTGGTGTGAGCCGAGCTCTGTATTTAATTCTTATATTGTAATACTGTGGTTAGAGGCAGCCAAACAGGCCTCCAGCCAGTGGTAACTGAAGCAAGTGGGACTCCCGGTTTGACTCCAGTGAATGCTGAAATTGGTTAGTTGGTACCTTCGGTTTAGAATTGTTTTGGGAGCTCGTAAACAATTATTAATGAGGACAGAATAGCAAAACCTGGTCATTTTGGGGTTCTGTACTAGTTTCCCTCCTTGCTCTCATTTTTGGTAGTCTGCGGTAAAGAGCATCTATGAAGTAATTTGTTTTAAAGGTTTGCCACAGTGAAAGGATCCGTGGAGTTTTATTTTTAGTCAACCAGTTTGGGCTGCCACTGGTGGTGGGTTTTTGGATGGGTCTTAGTTTTTCTGTCGTTTTTTTCAGAGGGATTTGCGACTGTTTTCATTCTGCACCTGTGCATTTTCGCAAGTGGGGACTCTTGCTCATTAGCTTTCAGGAGTTACATATTTACACCTGCAAACTGGGGCACGCTCTGGGAGTGACTAATTCTGTATGTAAAAAACACCTCACCTGTAGGAACAGATATTTATGCTTCAAAAAATGCATGCTCACCAGTGGCGTAGGAGTGAGAGGAGACTAGCTCCTGGGTTGCCTGCTTTTCCACCTTCATTTCCTGGAACTACCCAAAGGAGCTGGAGAATTTTGCTCTGAAAACCAGCCCCTGGCTAGTTAGATTTCAGATGCCTCCCCTGCAGTGTTAATTAGATGGGTTCTTTTCCCCTGTGGTTTTATAGCTGTCGAGGGTCCTGTCAACCTTCCTCTCAGGACAGTGCTGTGTCACTCTTTCTTGCAGATCATTTTGAACTCCATGCACAAGTACCAGCCAAGGGTACACATCATTAAGAAAAAGGATCACACGGCTTCTTTGCTAAATCTGAAGTCAGAAGAGTTCAGGACATTTATCTTTCCAGAGACAGTTTTTACTGCTGTTACCGCCTACCAGAATCAGTTGGTGAGTACAGTTGCTAATTTTTACAGTTATAACTAAATCCCACCCTGCTGAAAACTCCTTTCTGCCCCCTCTAAACTCGGAAAGTTTCTGGCATAAGCTACCTTCCCATGACAGTCTTGTTCACATTCAGGAGTAATTCTTAAATACACAGATAGTAGTACCGACTTTAAAGAGCCATAAGGGTTATTCATGAGAGAAAAGATGACAAGTCAGAGGCTTGCTTTCGTCTTCCCTTCTGTCTATACAAAGCTGTTTGCATATTAACATTTAGTCATTTTCTAATTATAGCTCATTAAGGAAATGCTCTTATTTGCAGTGATCTTTCAGGCCACAAGCTATGAGCTGAGAGACATTCTGGTTTGCACATGATGATTTCATGGGCTTAAAAAGTTGACTAATTAAGCAGTAAGGCTCAAAAGTAAGGAAAATCACTCAGAGATATGCTTTTCAAAGGCTGCCCAGATTACATCCAGATGTTTGAATTTCAATTTGCATGCTAGTGAATAATACATACAAAATGGAGGAGATCATAACAATGGGTTGCTAATGAGTAATTTTAGGAAGTCTATAAACAATCGGAGACCAGAGGCTCCGCTTGACAGTGGATTGGGCTTTAATATTTAAGTCAGTAGAAATAAGTTGTTGCCTTCAGTGTGACTCAGAGCATGCATTAAGGGCTTAATGACAATGACACTTCAAAAATAAACCTATTTCCCTCTTTAGTTCCCCAAGTTAAGAAAAATATAAGTACTCTCCAAGCACGTGGGCAGCCAGCATCACAGTCAGTGTACCTTATGGATTATTTAAAGAAGTTGGCCTTTCTTAATATAAAGCAAAAGTAATTGGTTTTGAAATGCTATGAATAAAATGAAACTACTGCATAGGGGGCCAATGATGCTCTGAATATAATAGTAGTAACATTAAATCAGTCCTATTACAGACACCACATCCTGCTTTAAGGCTTCAATGTATTGATTTTAAACTCAGGTTTGTATCTGAATGCTGCAGAAAACACATTCAACACCTGGCAGTCTCAAGAATATGATGTTTGGACAGGCACTTAGATTTTTTTCATGTAACTTTCTGTAGAAACCAGCAAAATAGTAACAGGCACAAAAACAGCTAAACCTGGAATTTATTTCTGTAGGATGGATTTGTGTCTACAGATGATATTTACACCAGAGATGTTTCTAAACTAACCTTCCCAAAGCACATACATTGAGTCCTGGAAAATTTCTCAATGGAACATCTCCGGAACCCCTAGAGGCTGATGTTGTCATTTTATTTATGACTAATGAAAATGGAGCCTTTTTTCATTTTTGCCATTTCTTTCAGAACTGTTTTAAGGAGGGATTGATTACATTTCTGGAGGTTATTAGATAAAAGCTAAATACATTACACTTTCAACAAACTATCTCATAATTTAAGATTTAAAGGGCATGCATTTATTTAAACAGTCAAACCACTGCCACAGAGTTGAATTGTAGGTCAGATTTCATTTTAAAATGCTTTCTAGCAGATGTTCTCTGATTGTTTGTGAGACAGTCTCTCAGGAAGAATATGGCCATAACAGATTGTGAGTCTCATCTGGCTTCAGTGGATACAAAAAGTTTCTCTTGTGATGTCATACCAAAACTTTAATATTAAGAAAATGGAAGTTTGATTGGTGAAAATATGCTCAAGAGATGAATAGACATCCTTATTGTTTTGTAGTGCAGTTGGCTTTGTGTGTTGGTGATCTAAGTCAATGGAACTAGTTAGAGCTTGCCTTTTTCAAGGTAGTTTCATAATGCTGCCATAAAACATTCACTGTACGTGAGGGACTAACTCGCCACTCTTTGCAATATCACCGTGAGTTAAGGACTTATGGATATCTTGGAATTGGAATGAGACTATAACTAACTTTCTGAGCTGTTTCAAGGTCCTTGTGATAAGGCTGCAGGGTTGTTTCCACCAGCTGTACCTGTGTGATGAGACAGCCTCAGATCCTTGACTGGTACTGAGGTCCCATGGTGTTTGACCAGCCCACTGAAGACCATTAATTAAAAACTCAGGTTTTGTCTTTGTCAGCACATCCCTTCCTCTCTATATTTCTCACCCAGAAGACCTCTTTGTCAGAATTAAAAGTTGGGTTCAGTTGTCCTCTTTATTTTACTTTTTTCATTTTGGAGGAGAAGCCACCCTGTTTTGATATACCTTTGTTTGATGAGAGCATTTGATTGCTTGAGGATTTGGAAAAGAGTCTTTCTTTTTTTTTTTTTTTTTTTTTCTTTCCTGAGTCTTGAGGCCCAGGTATTAAAAATGATCTTGTGGCCTCCTCAACATGTTTTTTTTTGGAGGAAATTTAGGCTGACAAAGCCACCTAATATGAAATGTTGAGAGCTGCTGATTTTCTTGGGAGCTGGAGTTGGTGGCATTCACTACCTTGCAGGATGGTCCTGTGTTGTACATCATCAAGCTCTAACTCCCACTTACAATTTTATTTTTAACCCTTGGAAGGAGAGTGGCTGGAAAATCCAAATACTGCAATGACATCTCAGGTTTTATTCACCGAATCTAAATTCATTGAACGTATAGAAAATTTGGCAAGGAAAATAGCATATTCTTTTCCTGCTTCCAAAAAAAAAAAAAAAAACAACCCACCATATTCAAAGCCACTACCATTTGCCTGAGAAGTTTCACTGCAAAGGTAAGAGGATGATTTGTGGCAGAGAGTTTCCTGGTCAATGTGTTGCTCTGTTGGAATAGGAAGGCTGACTAGATGACTGGGCAGGTTTGTAGCTGCTTTTGAATAAGAGAGTTTTGATTGCAAGATCTCTTGTTTTTCAGGACTCTGATAGTTTCAGTGGGGTTACTCCTTTAATCCAGGTTCAGTCACTTTAAATTTGAATTCTCCCCCCAAATCTTTCCTGCCCTTCCTCAGCATCTTTTCATACAAAACCAGTTAAACTGCCCTGATGTGATGACTGGTCAGGCTGGCTGATAAAATTCTCATCCCAGAAAAAAAAAAAAAAAAAAAAAAAGGTGCTGAACTGAAGCCATGACTTCAGGTCTGCAGGTGGCAGCTCCTAGTTTGGGGCCTTAGTAGTTGCTGTGCAGCTCCACCAATAAGGCTTAGCTGTTAGCAGAGTGGTTTGCATTGCTTGTGGAAAAGACAACCTGATTGATGCTGGTAAAGTATTTGGAAGCTGTAATGCTGTATGTGGGGTGGGTTCCTCCTGCTCTGGGCAACATGAAGGCTGAGCCTGGTGTGCCCTTTGGTCTTTCCACTGCCATATGTGTAATACACGCTGGTTTGCCTCCTCAGCTTTGCAGTGTCTTGAGAGCGGCACACACACAAGGAACATGGATAAAATTAGCAGTGAATTCTGGAGGATGGATTGGTTGACACTTTGTACGCTGCAAACACTATATTCATGTAATGTTGCTCTTTTCTCTGTTTGCAGATAACCAAGCTGAAAATTGACAGCAACCCTTTTGCTAAAGGATTCCGTGACTCTTCCAGACTCACTGATATTGAGAGGTAATGGGGACTTTCTGTTTACTTTGCATGCAGATAAGATAAAGAGAAGAGAGAGTTTGTAGGAAAAGCGTCCTTTCAACTCCTCAGAAGCTATGCATTTTAACGTTATCTTGTTGCATATAGTAAGACTCCTCTACCTCCTTTAAAAATACTTTAAAACTTTATGAAGAAAGAGCTGTTTTGAGTTTTGACATCTGTTCTAGTTGGGGCCAATATATTTGCCTTCCTCAGGGGGCTTCTTGAAGGGGGGAGAGGGTCAGTTTTACAACTTCAAAATGAAATATTTTTTTCTTATCATGCCATTTAATCCTATTGAGGGCTGTGAATTGGGTCAATGGGAAACAAGGGCAGTGGTCCTGTGAAAAACATTTTTACACTGCCCAATGCTCAACACAGTGAAAAGAAGAGAGGAGAGCTCCCAAAATGCACTTCAGCAGTCCCAGACACTGAATTGGCAATTATTCCCATCAGGATGAATCCCATAACTCCCACTCTGAAAACAAAGATGCCATTTTTGTTTCACCAAAATTGTACTGCCGGCTGCACTGGGGGAAAGCTTTATCTGGAAACTGTTGAGTTTTGTGTCTGTACAGCTCATTACAAGCAACTGCTGCCATAGGGACAGAAGCATTAACCCACAGCTGAGTAGTAAATAAACTTCAATCTCTTGGTTGCTTTCCAGTACATCACATTTTTACGATATCGTGTCAAATAGTTTGGCAAATGAAGCAAATTAAGCTGCCTGTGTCCTTTAGGCTGGAAGAGAACTCAATGGAGATGGATATAGCACATCCAATTTTTCCTATGAGCGCACAATCATGAAAGAAAGTTTGGAGAGGCCAAAAGCCTCCAGGCTCCTATGTGGGGATATCCAGATGTATCTGTGAATCATCTTTCACAGGTGCATATAGGAGACAAAGTGCTCACTGGAGTCATATTCATGGAGCTAGACGAAGTCTTTACAGCATTTCAAAAGTACATCTATCTAAACAGGTCCATAGATGGGAAATCGTGATATACCTTATACCTTACTTGTGACTGGATTGTTAGTGATCGATTGAGTAGGTGGGTAAAATAACAGTGATTTGGGGAAAGAAAGCTTGCAGCTGCAGTGCACACTTGCAAAGTTGTTGAAAATTGTTTCCTAAGTGAAAGCCTTCACTGAAAAAGAAAAAAAAAGGCAGATTTAATAAAAATAGCATAGCCTGCTGTATTGACAGAATACTGAGGAAAACAACATCCAAAGCTCAGGTTTGTATGGAATAAATAGTCAAGAAAGGACCTGTTGGAAGAGGTTTCCTTGTTTTACAGACAGGAGACATCTAATGATACAGCATTGCAAGGGTGGAAAGAGTCTGAGCAGATAAGCTGGGAGAAAAACTTAGTTACCTCTGTGCGGATGAACCGACTATCGTGGTGCTGGATATGAAGGGAATTTTTCCAGAGGACATCTTATTATAACAGCACATGGCATGGAGTCAGAAATGCTGAGCATAAGCTGCAGTGCCCTTTTGTTTATTGATAAGTGTAAGAATAGAGCCTGAGACAGGCAGCCGAGCCCAGGCATGAATGTTACCATGAAAGATAAGGCAGACAAATGTGAAGCCTATGATAAATACAAGAAACAGAATTTGTGAAAAGTACTGAAATTACATTAAATCTCTGGATTTGAGAGTCCAAGTTTGGTTACGATCTTATTTTGACTTAAATTGGAAATCTGAGCCCTGATTAGCAAACAATAGTATTTTAAAATACAAAACTTGCTGCACAACACATCGAGTCACAAGACAATAATTAAGCGTAACATGCAAGAGGGCTGGTAAGAGATTGATTGAGAATTTCGTAAGTTATACAATACGGTCCAGAAATACCGAGGGTTTTATTCTGTTCTGAAATTAAAATATTCAGGCAGATGAGAATGTAATTCTCTAAGTGCTCACTAGTTGTATAGATTTCATCTTATCATCAGCAAAATTGCTTAAAGAAATCTGAAGCAAAGCAAAAGGAATAGCAAAGTGAGATAGGACAAGAGGAAAAATTTCTTACTTGATGTCCATTGTGACATGCATTGCAAGTAGGTGAATATTCAATAGTACAGCATGACTCTTGCTCAGCCGAGTTGGAAATGTAGTTATTTCTGTAAGATAACTGCTGGAGAAAAATACTTGTTTGCCAGGGAAAAGACCATGAAGGCCAAATGCACACTTGTGCAGCTCTTGAAAATGGAGTAGTTATCTAGAAGCTGTGAAAATACTTTCCATGCACTCCTCCCTAAGCAGGCCTGCATACAGCACGTGCATGAGTAATCTCCAGCGTGGTGTGGCGATCCTAATGGCCTCCTGTAAAGCATCCTGTGATGTTAGGGCCAAGAGAGCACTCATTTATCGTGAGTTCCAGCTTTTCCAAATGACCTAAGTAGTGTGAAAGCGTACAGAGCTTTGTATTTCATTTCCAGGTATTTAAGCCTGCTTTTTCCTAAACAGCCTTTGGGGAGGGAAACAAATCAGATCAATTGATCTTTAGAGACCTAAAGAAATTAAATTAGTCTGGAGTCAGTTACTGCACTAAACCATCCAGTAATTGGATTGCTCCTTGTAACTGATTGAAAACAGCCTCTATCTGTAACAATATAGGGAGCTTTTCTTTATAGTAGATCTGAGAGAAAAACACATCTTTTTATGACATGATGACAGAAATTGCACTTTTTTAACCTAATTGAATATGATTTTATAAATATGTGACTTTAACGATTTCAGGCTTTCCATTCTAGATTTACGATCCCTCTGTAGGAAATTCAAGCTGCAAATGCCTTTAGGATTAAATCTACTGGCATTGTGTGTGTTGGAGTTAAATAACATATGTAAAGGTAGTGCAATTAGCAAAACGGTAGAGGAAGCAGGTAACAGCAAAGCTGCTGAAATGCCTGCATTTCCTTTTGTTCCTGTCTCAATATTGTGGAATGGTTTCCTTACACTCACGGCTTTTAACTACTGAAAAAATCTTTGGTGAGTTTGGTGTACACCAAGTTTTTAGCGGGGTGCAAGATTCCTTCCACAATCAACTCTTTCCTAAATTACTCGTGGTAATCTATTTAAGGCAATGGGCAGACTTTATCTGGGGCTACTGTGATTTAGATAAGTTTCTGATTCACCTTTTGATCTTTTTATGTGGTATTTACATTTCCTCTGCTATAAAAAGGCTCCCACAGTGGTTGTGATTGAAAAAAACAAACATTTAGCAGCAATTGCCAGAATGTGAAGCTTAACATGCCTTGGTGTTGACTATGGGATGCCAAATGCAGTAATGGGAATGAGTGTGATATTTTTTAATGGTAACCCTTGTGAAAAAAGACTAATACAGGTTTTCTAATGAGAAATTCACTCTGGAGACAAGCTTTAAGGGAGTACCTTTGTGCTTTTGCTGAAGAAAAAACTGCCAAAGACATATAGAATGCAGATGCAGAACCCAACAGATGAATTCTTTTGAGTATGAATTTATTTTTTAAATTTTTCTGAAGAATTAGCCTGTTAAAATTAAATAGGTAAATAAAAACATCATTATTACATACCATTCAAACAATTGAGTGAAAAAGGTGATAATTTCAAGAGCACGAGTCAACAGAAAACCACTGAATCATAAAATAATGATCCAACAAGAATTGACAGATCATAATCATGTTCTGAACAAGCTTGTTTATTTTACACTGCTTGTTTATTTGCTTGTATGTGATAGGCAAGTTCAGGGTGTGGACTTGTAACTATTAAAGAGAGTTAAGTGAGTATACCCATCTGCAAAAGTCCAATAGTGCTTCTTGGAGGTAGATACATACTTCAGGAGGAAAAGTATGGAAATATGGAAAAGTATTGGTAGCACACCCAAGTAATTTTTAGGTAGAGATGGGAAGGATGGGGGTGGGCAGAGTGTGAAGTAAGAGAGCTGCATCCCAGCTGGATTTGCATGGTTATCAGTTCATAATTTTCCCCTGAGGAGCTTCATATATGATTTATGGAAATACATCGCACTGGTTTACAAGGCTGTAAGCAAAATGGATGCTAATGCCTGGGCATGGGCATTGCCCTGCTGAAGTATGAGTCAAAGCCATATGCTTGGTGATGTGCTGTGAACAACAATCCTGTCTTCCTTCCCTTCCCTGCTCACCTCACAGAGCTGCCTTCCTCCCCATTCCCACTGCTTACTGCTCATCTAGAAGAACTTCCCTGACTCTTGAAAGGCCCCTATACCAGCAGCCAGAAATATATATATATACACACTGTGACCTATTCCCATGTCCATGGTTAAGTAGAGTTTTGTCAATCTTCTTTAACAAATCGAAATCCCAGCTTATCTTTTACCCCTGGCTAGTTCTCAGTCTGTGAATGTCAGCAACCAGCCATGAGATATCATCTCTGATGTTTAGGTTTGGAGATGAAGTCCTGAATTTAGAGAGAAATACCAGGGACTCTGATACCTAAACGCCTCGTATCTAGAGGCATTCTAGATATTGTCGATGTTATTCCAGCCTTCAGCTGCTGCTCCAAATGGGTGGATGGATTCTTTGTATTTTCCAGATCATTCCTTCCAGACCACTGCAGATGGCTTGATGTCTTTGCACATTTTGAAAACACTACCTACCTTTGTTTAGACACCTTAATTATTCCCTTAAAATCTGGTTCCTTTGATTCTGCTTATTGTTAGCCAGGCAACTGTTCCTTTTTACCCAGCAGAAAGCCCTCCACACCAGTTAAAACCTCTTTAGTTCCCAACTTTTTGAGCACGCATACCCTGGCTCATTTTCCACTTAAGTGTTCTGTTATTTAACTTTTTACTTATGCACAAAGGTATAAAAATGTTGTATTTTTCTAGTAGTTTCCATTCGCGTCATGCAGAGGTAGTGTGTGCATGACAATAGGGGATGAGGTCAAATTACAGTTTCCACCCCAGAGTGGGTTTTCCAGGGACTTCTCCCACTCAGTGTTCCAGTACTCCTCTCCTCCTCACCT